TGTGTGTGTGTGTGTGTGTGTGTGTGTGTGTGTGTGTGTGTGTGTGTGTGTGTGTGTGTGTAAAGTCTACCTCTCAGCAGCAGCAGGCCTTTCTTTGCTCTGTATTGAACTGGGGCCCCAGGTTCTTCCTTTCTTCTTGATTCCCTTCTTCACGTCATCAAACTCTTCTGGCCTGTAGAGGGTGCTGCGGCCCCATGTACGGTTACTCTCATCCTGGGTGACTGTGACACACAGAGCAGAAGTGTTACCACAGACTCAAACATCCGAGACAGGTTTTTCATTCAAATATCACTGATGTCTGCACATAAAAAACCCAAACAGCCATTGTTATAAAAGCTTCTGACATGTGTGAGTTAGTTTTGGTAAAGTTGTTATGAAGATGAGAGAAAGCAAAAGGTAGAATCCACCACACACGTAGGAGCAACAAACCAGAACCAAAACTGCCATAACTAGGACGAGAATTACAAGTATATATATTTTAAAAAAGCCAATCATTGAATTCAAGATAAACATTAGACAATTAAAATATGAATGGCAGACTGGCCCACGTCTGTGGCATAAACCTCATCAGAAACCTGTAAGACAATTTTTAACAGTAAAAAAACAACAACAGAGTCTTGTTATAATTCACAAATGAGGAAACCCAACCAACACGTACAATCCCCACTGATGGGAAGCTGTCAGGCAAGAAACCCCTCCAATTGTCACAGTTTGCCAAACACCACAATCTGTTAACCACAGAGTCCACGCCCACCCAGCATGTGGGGAACAATCGCTTGCCTTTGCGCTCCAGCTCAGAGTAGACTGTGAGCTCGCTGGTCAGATCAACATCCTGTTGGTAAACATATAAACTGTCCCTCCGCATGTAAGACGTCACTGAGAAAGGAAACATACAAGTTACCTCCCACCAACCTGAGCATTATTCTGTGTAAATATGTAAATGTGGATTATATACAAGCTTACAAATCTCTGTCTTGGACAGTGAAGACCATCCAATCAATCCATCAACTCAAAGAAACTGTTCAGAACAATTAACCACATTGCAACAAACTTTTCTAGTAACTAACCTTAAATCATTTTTTGAACCCCGTTTTTATAGACTTTAACTCCCCTCTGAATTTAAGTTTTTGCAGAATTTTGATTCATATCAAGCACCTCCATTCTGGCCTGCATTGCAAATCCAGTAACATCAAGCAACAGCCTGTGCCCTCTCTCTGAAAGTCACAATCTACACATGCCCAAGAGGAATTTGTTCCAGTTATTGCAGGGGCGTTGATGCGTGACTAACAATATTATCAAACTGTTCAAACAACTGGCTGACTTGCTTGTGGCTCCGGAGCTTTTGTTCACACAGCTCTTGTCTTTGTGAACGATGCTGTGCTCATGTCTGCAGCTCCCATGGTATTCTCTGTGATTTGATGTACTTTCTTCAGAATCATTTTAATTTTCCACACTGATTTGAAAAGGTTGCAGGTTGTAATCAGACATCACGCTAAAGAAAACCTGAGAAAAGAAATTCAGTAAACTTACGCTGAATCGCTCGTAGCCGAGGGATGAGTGTGGGACTGCTGGGAGGGGAGGAGCTGGTGCTATGAAGGCTCCTCCTCTTGTCCATAGAAGGCGATGCCTGCACAGTGATCTTATGCTGGAAATCTGCAAAATGTAACATGGACATAAAGAAAGGGCGACACAGTCACAAACCCAGTAACAACTGGATTGTTAAATTATTAATCAATTAAACTAATACTAGAGGAATCAACAGGTTTTGTCATTGATTTATTCATTTTGTTGTAAATATAAATGTGTGAATTTGCTTTTTGTAACATTTTATGTATCGAAGACAGCAATACACTCTTCATTCTGAATAAGACTTGAATGGATTTGTGGTGTTGCATAGTCGTATGCATGGCATAAGCTCTTGTTGATATTACTGTTAAAGATGTTACAGGAAGGACTAGAAAACCTTTAAAAAAGTGCAGACCATTTATCAAAATTTGTACATTTTTCCCATACAGGGTCTAAATCATTTTGTACACAGCCAGAGGGCTGTAGCTCTAAGTGTAGCTTTTGCTAATTCATGCAACGAGAAAATGCTATTTGCTGTCATTTGTCTGTAATGTCTGTCATTTCCAAAAATGTAAAATGCAAACACAAGACATAGGTTCAGTCTGTTCCCTGACCTGAGGGCAGGCTGATGCGGTTTCCATCCTTCAGTTTGAGGCGAGAACGTTTGAATTTGCCCTTCCTCTTCTTCACGTTGGGCTTGTCTTTGTTGAGCTGGAATATGAGGATGTTGAGCTCCCTCTCCAGCACGTTGATCTCCCTCTCGGCCAGCTGCTGCTCCCGACGCTTCAGCAGCTCCTCCTGAGACTTCTGCTGGAGGGCAGCTCGCGTCAGCTCCTCTTCCCGGGAACGTAGCTCCTGGAGGATGAAAACACATATTGTATCCTTTTTCTTTTTTAAAGATAATTTTGGACATTACATCTTAATAGATGGGACAGAATATAAATGTGTTAGAGGGAGAGAGAGCGACAAAGAAATGCAGCTTCATTAGCTGCTATTAACATAACACACCCAAATCTGTGGCAAAACTGTTGGTAGCTGGGTTTGCCCTTTTCACGAAGAGTATTCCTCTAAATGTCTGACCTGGTCATGTAAGACACTATTTGATTTTAAGACAGTGGTAGAAAAACATTATTACTGTATTTCAAGAGAAAAGCTCTGTGTGTGTTAGCTGCATATTAAAATGTTATAACTGTACAACTCTGTGTAAGGTTGTGTATTTTCAGGCAAAACAGTCTTGTCTCCTCCCATAGCTTATTCTTTCTTCATTCTCTCTGTTTTCACTTTAATTGCTCTTAGGTGAGTAATAATAATCCTTACTGGATGACTTCCATAAAGCAGCTTTACCTTTAAGCCCCTTCAGCCACCCACCTAGACACAGATTACTGTGGGATGTTAACAGGAAATCTGCTAAGGTACTGGCTAATTCTACAATTTGCAATGGAAATGTTTTTCCCCACTTGATTTATGAAAGCTTTGTATAAAGGTTATAATGACATTATGATTTATTGAGGGGATGTAGATTATGCAATTTAAGTGTTTAAGAGATTTATCTGTATGATTGTAAGATACATATTACAAAAGACATGAATAATGTGAACTAGAACAAAGCAGAATGCACACACCCATATTACAAAATTTACAAATAATACACACAAGGCACAAATTAAATCTCTTTAAACAACACCAGCACCTGAAGGGATTTCAGATTCCATGTACACTCAGTTCAACGTTCGTTGACCTGGGTCTGTGTGCTGATCCCGCTGTTTCTCAAAGCACTAATTAACCCCCCTTTGTAAGCCAGCGACAGGAGACTTATACAGGAAGCAGATTAAGGTCTTAACAAGGGGAAGTACACTAAAGCACATCAGCATTAAAGACTTGTTTTGTTAAATGCGCTATTAGCTTGTCCACTGAAAGTAACCAATTAAACTTATTAGTCTGAAAAAGCTGTCCCGAGTGATCCAGGAGAGTTTGACTGAACAGCAGATGAGTTCACATGTATTGAGAGTAGTACAAGGAGGATAAGAGGCCAGAAACATACACTGTTCAGCAACTTTGCTTTCAACTTCACGAAACTGAAAAGAGGAAGGAGGATATAATGCACATGCTGTGGTGTATGGTGTGATGTATGTTTGAATTGTGTATCACTCCCCTACCTTTTCTTTGGTCCTGAGCTCATCGAACATCTCCTGGATCTCCACACGCCAGTCGTCCTGCATGCTATGAAAGGAATCCTGAGGCATGGTGGCCATCACCGCCTCCTCGATCGCCGACAGCTGCTCCAGGATGCAGGAGAAGGAGGGACGTACATGGGGGTCCTGGTCCCAACACTCTGGACACATATTGCAATGCATTGATGGATATAGTGACAAACATTAAAAAGCGTACATATGTGGTACTTGCCCAAAATAAACTACTTAGCAATCGATACTACCATGACAGTACAGTAAACTTAAGATGTGTAAGTGATAATATTATCCACATATAATCAAGTGTTGAAAAATACAAAAATATTTCAACCTCTCTGTGATTTGATCATATGGTAAAGGCCAAATATATTACAATAGCACAGAATTTAAAAACTAATTGTTTTCATGATGACATGTTTTCCTACATCCTGTACTCCTGCCTGTTAATTTACCTTCCATGAGCTTGGCGAAGGGTTCGGGGCAGGTGGAGGGGATTGGTAGAGTTAACTTGTTGACTGCCACGCCGTAAGCTACAGCCAGGCCGTCTATCCCTCGGTACGGTACCTCCCCTGTTAACAGCTCCCACAGCAAGACTCCGTATCTGTTGGATGACATCCACAGAAAGGAATACATAACAAAGGTATGAGAAAAAATGCCAAACAAATGAGAGAAGTAGATATTTCTTGGGTACATGTGTGTTTTTTGTCATACCCCCAGACGTCACTGCCTTTGGAGAACAGAGATGACTTGATGACCTCGGGGGCCATCCAGGAGTAGGTGCCTGCAGCTGACATTTTTGTGGTTTTGTGCCACTCCCTGGCCAGGCCAAAATCTGTGATCTTCAAGGTCTTCCTCCCGATATCGTCATTCTCGATCGTTTCAAGTAATAAAACTGAAAGGAGAGAAAGGAAGGGTTCATATCATAAAGGGGGATCATACAAGCCTGCGATTTGGAGGTGAGGCAAGATAAATAAACATATGTGGGGGAAAGGACATTACGAGTGATGAGGGATTGAGAGAATAGGACGAGTGGAAAGACAGGATTGGGATGAAAGAGACAGGCGAGAGGGGGGAGGAAGAGAAAGGAGAAAGACGAGTGAAAGGGAAACACAAAGAGTGGGAGACAGAGAAAAAGACAACCGTGCAGGTGAGGAGATGATAGTTGATATTCAACAGGGCCAACAGCAGGTAATTTATTACTGAAGAAACAGAAGGCTGACAGTGCCACAAAGCACCTGTCCTCAGGTCCTAAAACTGTTAAACACATTAAAGACGGCCGGAACCCTCCAAACCTCTCAGTAACACTACACCTGTCCTGAGAGTCTCCACAGAGGAGACACTACCAGATGAAGTGTAAAGTCAAGAACCTCTACAATAATCATGTGCTGAATGAGACAAGAAAATATCTCACATGCACATACATTTTTCTGACTGGGTCTCAAAAGTCCTCCAACCTGGGAAGCTGGAAGTAGGGTTGGTTATTGATTGTTATTGTAGTTGATGATACATTTTCTGTTGACCACTTCAGCAGAACTAAAATGTATAAAAACCAAAATGAAAAATTAAGAAATCTTATTTAAAAAAAAGCTTAAGGATGAAGTAAAGGCCAACAAAAATGGATTTAAAAAGCCTCTGCCAAGGCCCAACAATCTCCTTATGAAACCAGTGGGTTTTATTTGAAATAGATATCAGTCCCCTAAACAAGCCTGTTTTTTTTCATCAAGATCCACAATTCTTTTCTTAGAAATTGGTGAAAATGTAAAATAAAAACACCCAAATGGACAGGAGTGAAAACTTGACCTCCTTGGCAGACATAATGAGCAAAAAAACTAAACCAATGACAGTAAACACAATGTTTCTGCTTATCTCTATATAATGAATACACACAGGGGTCAACACAGGACATGAGAACATTTTAGCTTAGTAGCAACAGTAGTAACTTTTCAAGTTAATCTCTATGAGCCGGCACACAAGCTGCAAAATACTCTTGTTTACTGTCTACAACACGAAGCGGCCTTTTCCGTTAAGTGGTTCATCAAACGCCAAAACAAACGCTTTGATCCTTTTATACTCTTGGTATTATTTTCAACATGCATTCGCCTCTGCCAAGATCTCCTCACATTACAAACTGTCCCATTTCATTATTTACATGCAGTCTTTGCACTGCGGGTCAGTTTGAACATGTCCTCCCATCAGCTGCGTTGTTTCTACACGAATCCTGCAGAGAAACTACAGCCTGAGAAGGTGATTTGACGGCGACACTAAAGTGTAACAGTTTACAAATCAAGGCAAACAGCTGGGATTAAAAAATACAAGCCCGAGTGCAGTGTTGACATGTACACTCATAATATTCCCATGGGAAAAAAAAGGATGTAACGATAAAGACACATAGTTTCTTCACCTACTGTTTCACTTATGATTATTTTATCACAGCTCTCAATGGAGGCCCTGTTATGTGTGTGTGCAAGTGATACTTGAAAGAAGGAGCTGAACTGTGTGTGTGTTTTTGTATAACACACTGTCCCTGGACTTGCACCTCCACAGCTGTACCAAAACAAATCCTGACAAAACACACACACAAGCACACAAACCTCTTAGGCAATTATCAACCACAGTAACATGCACATGGACTTGTACTAATATTCTAACTATCTGAGACACGTGGAAGTGTTGACTTACAATATGCATACTGATCTTCAATCCCAGTCAAAAACATATTGTGGTAAACAAATGTTTCATGGGTAAATGCAATGTACAGAAAGATGTAGGACGGGTGGAGACAGATTGAGAGGTAGAAAAAATAGGTTTAGAAACCATCACATGTAAAACTCAAAAGATTCCACAGTTAAAAACTGCATCATTCTTCTGTGCACAGTAAATAAGGCTTTCCTACTGTTTAAGAGATGTTAATGTACTCTGTAGAGGCTAATATGCATTTAAATTGTATTATTTCAGACATGCTGCTAGTCTGCAAATAACAAAGTGATTATGCAACTGTAGCTGAAAAAAATACTCCATTAATTTGTTAATTTACGAGCAGACAAATTATAATTTATGTTGAGTTATGTTTGTTACTATTTCCTGGCATTTAACACACCGAACAAGGAATCAGTTGATGAGAAAAATACTTAATCAAATCAATTCTTAATAATCAAGCAATTAAACAACACAAGCAGTATAATTGTATAACTAATACTCTATGTTGCCTCACTACACTGTGCTGACATTGACAAGTTATGCCTCAGAGATAGGTTACTCCCATTAGAATAAGTATCATGCTTTCCATACTGGACGCATTAGTATATGATCTACATTTAGATTAATTTATGGATCGGTTACACATAAAGCCCTTTGGCTAAATTCACACTAAACATTCAGCTTCTACTGCAAACTACTGCAACTATCACAAAGTTAAAACAGGAAACATGCATACAAATACTGCGATTACTGTGAAAAACTGGATATTTTGGGGCATTTTCTTTAGATTGAGCAAAGATATACCAGGCAATGTATAAGATTTTGACTTTGCTTTTAAAGGCCTTTTTAAATCTCATCAAATGATTTCAAGCTGTATTTTAATCATAGTGTGACTCCTATGGGTCTCCACTAATAACAAGGGTATTGGTGCCATTACTCGCCTCGGGCACAGAGGGGATCCTCTACCCATGCTGCAACAATAGGAATTCCATTACAAACAGGTTTCACTAGACCGATGATATACTCCTACTTCCTGTTGTCAAGTCCTCTCTCAGTGATTCCATAGATTCCTCCCAGCAGGCTCTGTAGGTTTATAATGACTTATGATGGCTTAGTTACACAACCGAGGAGAACAGTGGTTTTGGGATAAACCCGTCTGTGTTGATTGGCCTATAGAATATCATGCCACATATTTTCTTTGTAGCTCCATGATACTTCAGTGTCAGCCCTCTAGAAATGTCTGATAAAAGACCTAGCTCCCGTCTACATGACTCCATGCTGACGTTATGCTGCAAAAAAAACCAAAACCTTTACACCCCAGTAAGCCATTTTGTCTGGATATTCTTGCAGCCGCTGTGGTAACACAAATGTACGACAACGCCACTGATGATTAACCTGCGATTTCTGTCAGTCTAAGTTTTCCATTCACTGGCTATTGCAGGATCTGCACACCTAGACGCTTTGAGGTGCGAGGATTGTCTTCTTTCTTACGTTATGTGAGATTTTGTTAATCCGGCCCCGATCAAATTTGTTTTTACTGGATGTTATTGTTGTCTTTCCAAATTTTTTGGCCAATAATTGGTCTACCTCAGATTTGAAAAAAAAAAAAGGTTTAATGCCACTACCATCACCTTAAGAAGCAAAAACCAGCCTTTAAAATTAAAATAAATAATAGTTTGATATTGATTGTGATAAAATATGAACATTTCTATCCTGGAATAATATTGAGCCATATTGCCCAGCACTACCGTAGAACTTTAGACAGATGCTTTCCCACCAGTCTCATTTAACTGCAAGATAACAGATGCAATTAGAGGATTATAGCTAAGAGGGGAATGATTGAAGTCAGGACTCACTGACTAATACTTCACCAGTTCACCAGAGCCCTTCACCTCTCTTCTAAAGAAATGTTCATTTCAGCAGATATTCAAGGAGAAACTACATTTTTACTTTACATACAATATGTTGAATTGAATGAGCAGAGAGACATGCTCTGGCTCCGCTCTTTAGGGTCGTCCTAAAAGTCAAGCCCCAGGCCAGACCCCACCCTGTACTGGAAAGATAAATCCAGAGCTTGTGTTAGGGTGAAGTATAAAGTTAGTACAGCTGATGTTCAGAGTCAGGCAGTGGCTAGTCGCTAGTCTTCACTATTATTTTTCTCCTTCAGACAAGTCCTGTTAGGATAAGATGTTTGACAAAAGAAGGTGGAGTAACGGTTACCTAATTATTACTTATGTATCTCATGATTTTAATCCAGCATTAACGGGCCATGTCAGTATATTTTAAGAACCACACATGCAAAACGTACTCTAAGGTTACAGTTAACATTTGGAAACTGAGTTTGATGACATATTTGGATCATTTCCATGTGCGGGCCTCCTAACTTCTCGTTTCTTTACTCTTACACCCAAAGGATAGTAAATATAAATATAGCAGCACCATGTTCACTAATATTTAAGAAGTGGGCCAATGCTTGTGTCAGCTATAAAGACCCTGTTGACAGTAAACTATAGTTAACAAATGCAATAAACACAGCTGTGTGTGTAGCCTATCATTATGTAATTATTACTGTTGGATTACTACATTTGCCAGCTGCATAAGCAGCAAGTGTTGTTATTGAACCTGTTTGGTGTGATGACAATATTTAAATGGATCGGGTACTCTCATTCACAATCTGTTCTTCCGTTCTAAAAAGGTTATAACTCAGACTTTTATTTTTTTTTCACGCTTCTGCTGCTTTTTCTCACTATATTTTCTTCCTCTTTTGAAAAGAAATGTTTTGAAGAGGGACAACAGTGCGATGCAACTGGAGATGGACATGTCTCCAGGGCAGACCCCACCCTTCGTCCAAACCCCATTTAATTCCCCTTTCCAACAGTGGGTCTTCAGGCAGACCCATCTTTCATGGTGGAACAGTGGGAAGATCAGAAGCAGAGCTGCTGCCTTCAAAGCAGGTCCCACGCTTCTTCCCATAGCTCTCTCCCCCTCAAGGTAAAAAAAAAAAAAAAACACTTTTGGGGTAACTTTAGAGACACATTTCTCCCTATTCTGTAGACCTGATTTAACACAGACATTTCACAAAAAGTTTTGGAAGATACAGCACAGATGGAGCAGCCTTCAGAAAGATTCTGCAGACTTGGAATAGTCCTAAACTAGGGTTTTACATGGAACTTATCATTTGTGTGTTCAGTACTT